CCAGTTCTGTATGAATAAATAAATAAATCTTTAAAAAAAAAAAAAAAGAAGCAGCTATAGCAGAGAGATTTCAAAACCTATTTTCTTATAAGTAAACATTCAATGGCCATGTTTTGTAATGGCACTGACCTCACTACAGTACTCTTAATGACTCCTGAGGACATTTCCTCCTCTTCTTCCTAACTCTATACTTTGCTATAATGCAATAGCTTTGCTACCAATTAATATCCTTGTCCCAGCCATTCATCTTCAGTGCCTCTTTACTCAGATTCAACATCAGTATTATTTTTATCTATTTAGTGGACTAGCTAGTTTCTAAGGGCAATATTTCTGATTCAGTTGAGTTGCTTGTAGAGATTCCTTTAAACAGTGAGACAGATATATATAAGATTTATTTCAACTTATTTCCCAAAAAATGAAGTTTTTAAGTCAACTTAGAGTGAAAAGAAACTGGCTGCCTAGAAACTTTATATACAAATCTAGAGTAATGAGCCTTTGAAAAGCCCAAGGAACCTAACTCCCCAAGACCCTCAGGCAGGCAGGGGCTCTCTGTCCTGGACTCACTAGTAGCGTCCTTAGCATATTCCACACACGGACCCATACACTCTTCTTCCACGGAGCCTGGGCACTCCTAGACACTTTAAACTTTAGCCTCTTAGTTTGGATACAAAGGGCTTTGGTGATTATTTTTCTTAATAGAAATTTTCTTTCTCTTACTTAAAAAAATTGTATTTTACCTTGTATTACTTGTTTTTAAAATCAGGGATAAACAGGAATTATTTTCATGAGCCTGGGTAATATCCAACAAGAGACTAAAAGCATTCTAGCCCATCCCCATTTTCCTTGTCCAATGCCAGAGTCATCTTTCATCCAAAGATCCAAAGATCTGGTAGATAAAGTAGATAACTCCATTGTAACCCAGAATTCCCATCTAGGGCAAAGTACGGGACAATAGCATAACTAGAACAGCTATTTGTGGCTAACAAAAATCACTTGTAAACTGGAGATAAGGACCTCCAACCTAAATACTCTTTAAAGAGGTCAGGTTCCTTTATCAATTCCTAAGGATGTCTGAGACACAAGGGTGCGTGTGACAAGGAACACGACCCCTGCCTCATTTCTGAGTGTCCTTCTAGGAGTCCGCGGGCTGCTCTATGCATAACATCAAGGCTGGGAACACAGCCTCTGCGGCTTGTGCCTATTTAATCAGTCCCTGGGGCTCACTAGAGTTGCCATAGAAGCCCCGATGCGCCGTCAACAGATGGCACCGGTTCAGTCTACTCTGCAATAATGGGGGTGCTGGGGAAGGATGGAAATGTCCTAGAGAGACCGCGAACCGCTCCCAGAGGGGCTTGTACAGCGCGCGGGAGACCACAGCGCGCGGCACTGCTCTGTGGCCGACTAGAGCTGCGGGGTGGTCGCATCTGCCCGAGCGGCCACTTGGGCAGATGCCAGTTCCACGCCCCCCTGAACGCTTCCCTCCGGTAGCTGCCCTCCCACACGGCCTGCCTGTCCATGCCCCCGCTTACCTGTAAGGACATGGTGCCGGTAGCCAGCAGATGCCACACTGGACGCAGTCGCCGACCCTGGACGCGCCGCTTCTTAAAGGGCAGCGCATCTCTGCCCCGCGGCTTCCATTGGCTGGGCGCTGGGCTACTATTGGTCGCTAGCATCGGAGGGCGGTGCCTGGTGGTGAGTGGCATCCGTGCCCCCCCCCCGCGCCCACCGCGGTCCCGCGAGTCGTTGGAGGGCTGTGGGCGGCATGCACTGCTGGGGCTGGAAAGGCAAAGATTAAGGAATTTAAATGAGCTCCTCTCTGGCTTTGGCTAGCTCCCCAATTCTTTCTCTAGGGTTTGTTTGCAGGAAATCCAGAGAGGTCTCCCTAGGGCACGGACCTCACTTGGGATTCAATCCTTTTAAATATATCTTTTTGCTTTAGAAAGAACAGAAACTCCCGCATTTATTCAGTCCTCTCGTGTCTTCCCACCCATCACTTGTAGTTTGTACCTTCTCGTTCTAAACAAGCAACCACCCATTACATGTTTTCAATTATGGTAATTGCACAGAATTATATGCTTACTCAGTTTGTCTCTGTTTTCCAGAACAAACCCACTGTCACTCCAAGTCTACAGACACACAGAATAGGATTATGATTCACATTTGATTAAGTTGTCTAAGAACTGCAACCGCACTTCCTGGTCATATGAGAAGTTAATTTTTGATACGTATGTGTCAACACACACACACACACGTTTTGTTTTTTAAAGAAGCATTTGTGGAGAAAGTGGAAGAACCCGCACAAACGCAAGGACAAAAATTACTGATCGGAGTCATACAACGAAGCAACACTGTCTAACAATGCAAGTGAAGGAGAAAGAGCTCAAAACATTTTGACTTGGTTACATAAAACCATATCTTAAAAATGTTTGCTACTTTTCTTGTAAATTTATTGAATTTCTTCTGCAAAGTATTTTCATGATGAAATCATTAAGATAAAATAAAATCAATAAAATGCTGAATAGAATTAAAAAAATTTTTTTTGAAGTCCAGGGTCATGGGAAATGCATTTTGAGGCACCAAAAGCAAATGACACCTTCTGAACAGTGTGTGCTTTCTCAGCTGGAGAGAGTTCTATCAATGTTTCAGTAGGGAAATTCTGCACTCAGGGTCAATATTAGTGTGTTATCTGCAGCTGAGATATTTTGGCATTGTGGTCAATTTAAAAAATCAGGAGATGAAGAGAGAGAAGTTACAATGTATTGTTTTATCCTCTAAATCCTGAATATTCTTTGAATACCTCTTTTCAATGTACTTTTTTTCTCTTGTTTTGCCATCCCCATATTGAGGCCAGAGCCATGGGTATCTTGTTTCAAGAGCAAGAGAGAAGAGAGGATGGAAACATTGGTACAGTGAAAACTCAGTTTTCTGGAGCTCTTAGGTAGTGAGACAATTGGGATGGATTTTAAACTATTTTATTAATTATTCATTATAAATGAATATACCCATATGTGTAAATAAAATCTAAAGGGCACACACCTATGAATCTAACACCAGTTTAAGAAAGAACATTGATCCAAGGTGGCATAGAGGAGGTTGCTTGCTTCACTTTCCAAACAATCATTTAGTTTAACAAGTAGCATACTGCACCCAGAGAGTCCTGTGGCTTGTGGCAAAACTGGAACACCTCCTGGATATTAGAAACTAGACAGATAGCTCTAGAAAGGACATGGAGTAGACTCATGTTTTAGTGAATAAGAAATGATAGAAGAGATACACTTGGTGGCTATGGTTGAGGGAGGGAGACTGCCATGCAAACACTGCCACGGCTGTGACCTGAGGGAGGGGAAAGTTGCACTGTGTAGAGAAACATTCCTTTGACTGAGGGGAAATGCATGCAGAGGGGCTCGAGTTCTCTAGTTTCCCAGAGAAATGGAAAGGACAGTGTACTGGGTTTCCGCTCCCCCTTAAGCCAATGCTAATCTTGTGAGCTATGTTAATCTATGGCAAAGGTGGTAAGAGTATCCATTGGAAAAAGGAAAGTCTTTTCAACAAATGGCCTTGGGAAGACTGGACAGTCACACCCAGAAGAATGAAATTAGACCACAGTCTCACATCATGTTCAAAAATGGATTAGATATAAGACCTGGAACTATAAAATACATGGAAGCAGATAAAAAATGCTTTATGGCATTGTTTTCAGTGATGATTTTGGTGATTTTTCTGTAGTGGTAATAGGAAAAAAAAGAGAATATAAGCAAATGGGACTATATCAAACTATGAAACTTCTGCATAGTAACAGAAACTAACATTAAAGCAAAAAGACACCCTACTGAATGGGGAGAAAACATTTGCATGCCATACATCAAACAAAGGGTTCACATCCCAAATCTACAAAGAACTCATGTAAGACAACTAACAGGAAAAAAAAGGGCAGAGGAGCTAAACACACACTTCTCCAAAGGCAGATGGCACAGGAAAAAACTCATCATAACTTACTACAAGGAAAATGCAAATAAAACCCACAGTGAGATACCATCTCACACCCATGAGAATTATCTGTATCAAAAAGATCAAAATCAAGTGTTGGCAAGTGCGTGGAGAAAAGGAATCCATCTTACACCGTTGGTGGAAATGTAGACTGGTCCAGCTGCAATAGAAAATAGTATTTTGTAGGAAAAGGAGATGAAAAGGATTGGCTCAACTTTTGGGTATTTAGATGATAAAATTTTATAGTTGCATGAATTTAGATCATTTGGATTGATTTTTCTGCATTTTAAAGATTATCTTTTAAATTTTTGTTTTAGCTACTTTTTGTCCTTGTGGTCCGCGCCAGAGAAGCTTCATAGCTACATTCCCTGCTCCTTTACAGGAGTAATGGTCCAGGCAAGACTTGGAAAGCAGGGTGCATGGAAAAACTGGAGCTACTCTGGTGACTTTCAAAGATAGTTAGTGGAACTTGTGTTTTGTTTGCTGTTATCTTCAACTGATTTTCAGCCTCCCGAGGCATATAATCATTTCTGGGAAATGAGGCAGCAGCTAATGACACAAATTGTTCTATAGAGAAGGCAAGACTAAAAGGAAACTTGTTTGGAGATAACTGGGTTATGGGAAAAGTTTTTTCTTGTTTTGGTCGTAATGTTTGTGCACTACAAATGGTAGAGAAATTACCTTTGAAATGTAGTTATTCATTTTAGCAAAATTCTTGAGGAAATTATATTGTCAGTTTTAAAACCAAACACAACCACTAAAATCAGAGTTAGGTACAGTTAATTCTAACTTAATTATTAATTCAGGTTGTCACTGGATATATCACAGTTCTATGTATCAAACACATTCTCTGCTAGGCATTTTACAAACATTATCTCTTCTAATCCGAACAACAGCTACTATTTTTTATCATTTCATAGAAAGCATTAAGTAACTTGCCTAAAGTCACATGCCTAGGAAGTGAAGTTAGAATCTCAAGGAGAGGAGCCTGGCTCTAGAGCCATTGAATATAATGACTGGTAATCTTCATAGAGTAAATATAGACTGAGATGTTGCTCAAATGATAAATCTGAAATCTTAGGGTACAACAATTTATACACATTTCCTTCCCACTGTCTGTGTCTATTTGTTTTACAGTTTAAAAATGAGAATCTACCTTAGAACTTCGGTGGTTCATGGACATGTTTTGTTACTATTCATTTTATGAAATAAAGCCCATTATCACACTCAAACTTCACGTAACTTTTAATCTGAGATTTAAAAATCTTCTTACTCGTTATTCTGTATAACCTGTAATAATCTTGGCCCCAAAGCAATAGTTTAGGTTTTTGTTGTTATTACTTTATGGCCAATTCGTTACTATGTTGGTGATGAAATTGAACTAAAAACAAAACAAAACAAAAACCCATCCGGAAGAGATTGAGAAAGGAGGAAAGATAGAAGGAAAAAAGGAAGGAGTAGATTGGAAAAGGGGAAAAAATGGGGACGAGGACGAGTTTCAACCTAGTCAGAACCAGTCTAGTTCTTATTTTATTAAGATTTATTTATGAGTACAAGAACTAGGGTACAGTCCAAAGGTGGGAAGGGGGCGAGCGGATTCAACAGAGACAAGAGTCGGAGGCAGAACAGGCAGATCTACGAAGTACTGCCCAGGGGAGCAGCAGGGGAGAGGAGAGGTCTACTGCGCCCTGTGGGTCAGCTCCCGGCGGGCATGGAACTCGGTGCAGTGATCGGATAGCTTCCTAGTGCTGCTCGAGTTCCCCTAGCACCACCAGGGAGGCCCACAACTTATTTCTTGCCAAGAGAAAATCAATAGATACCTAACCTTGACAATGTTCTTCGTTGTTTCGTAATTGTCTAGCGACTCCATTCAGATTCTGCACAGGTTCCAACAGCTATCGCAGATATTTGGAGCTTTCTTAACTGTCAAAGAACTCAAAACAACCTTTCCACTTCTATTCCCCGGGGACTCAAGATCGCCTGCATTGTGGTCTGTAAGAATGAGGTTTCCTCAAAACATCCCATACTTCAGTTATCTTTAAGTTTTACGGGTCTCAGAATTCGGCTGGGATTCGATGGAGACGGGGCCATCGCTACTGGAATTTTGCGCTCTTGAGGCAAGCCAAATACAGAAAAGGGAGAGAAGGAAGACTCAGAAAGATAGAGAATGTGTTGGAAGGCAGCTGTGTCAAGGAGAGTGAAGTCGCTCCTAGGAGACGACGCTTTGGCTGCTTCCTTCTCTCGCATCCCAAGAAGGGCTGAGGTAGGTTACCGTGGCAACCACGAAATCTCGCGAGATTACCGCGCCTGCGCGCTGCTGCTGTGGTGCCGTGTTCCGAGCACAGACTCACTGTGTTATAGGTTGGTTCTCAGTCGTTTCGGGAACGTGTGACACGACGGCCCGACATTTCCTTTTGGGGAGTGACCTAACGCCTGATGCTGAAATGTGAAGTTCTGAGCGGCTGCGCCCGCCCCACATTTGGAAGGTGGCGGCTGTGAGCACGCGCCGCGCGGCGCACGTGGGGCGGCGCTCTGGCGGCTGTGAGTAGGGGTGGGCGCGCGCGACCCTGCGGCTTACTGGGGGCAGTGGCCGGGTGCTTCGGTGCTGAGGCGCAGTAAGAGTGCGGAGCCAGGGAGCGCAGAATCTCCAGGGCTTCTCGGGACCCGCCCGCCTCGGGGGTCTGCTCACTCCCGCCAGTACGCGCTTCCGGGCCTTGCCTCGGTGTCGGTGGAGTTGTCTTTTAGGAAGGAGAGAGAGTGAAAATAAAGCCCCAGCCTGGCCCTTGAGAACTGGAGGCGATCTCCAAATACACTGCACCAGTGGCAGCTTCGTGGTCAATTCTGTATGCGCCAGGTAGTGGCAGAGGGTAGAGGTCAGCTCAGAGTGCAGCCGCGGGGAGCTGGGGCTGTCGTCCCCTGGTGCCACCCGAGGTGTTGGGGGGGCGCCCCTGAGCCCTTCCTCTGTGTGGGCGCCCCGCTGGGACTGTAAACTCCCGCTGGGTGTGCATTTTACGCGCTGGCGATGTGCACAGGCCGGGGTTCTGTCCACCTCTGTAGCAACTCCTGTGCGTGTCGGGGTGATTTCTTAGCCTGCCCTCCGGGAGCCTCTCTGGTGCCGCCAGTTTTGTGGAGACTTCCTAGTCTGAAGCCACAGAGATCTTTGTAATGCCTTCCTAAAAAACCTCGCCCGCCCTGTGTTTTGAAACCTTTTCTACGCTGAGAGGCTTGACAGGACCTTCACTGTTCGGTCCTTAACATTCCTTCTGCCAGTAGCTGCTTTTCTCTAGCGTCTCTCCCCCAGCCTTACTGAACTTGTTTCGTTTCTTTTATTGTTGTTCTTTGGGATACCGTACTTGGTGCTTCATTTGGTAGGATCCTTCAGATGTAGGGTTGAAGGTCACTTTATCCAGGAGGCCCTTCCTGACCCCTGCCACTAGTCAGGCCTTTGCTAGATATTCCTTGATTGCCCAGCAGTTCCCCTGACCCAAGCATCATGTTTGACACCTGCTGATTTTCTAAGCTCAGCGAGACCAGGTTTTGCTTTAATACTTAATTTTTTGTTTTGGTATATTGTAAACTCTCGAAAGAAAGGTGGTGTGGAACTGAGAGTGGGAGTGTTCCAGTCATGGAGATGAGAAGCTTGTCTTTTCCTTACTTACTAAAGGGTGCAGTGGTTGTGTGTGAAGGGAGAGGCTTGCTCTTGGGATATGGGCGCCAGAATATGCAGGTCTTCTGTATCACCTTAAGAAGTTTGCTCTTGATCCTATGGGCATAGGACACTTAGGGATGTTTTCCGATTATATGGCCTAAGGCTCAGCTTATGTTTGCAATTTGGTTCTCCTCTTACCCACTAGATTCTGAAGACTGGAGTTAATGCTGCCTTGCTCTCCCCTCCTGGCAAGTAACCATTTACTCTGTGTTGTATGAATGCTGAGACAGTTAATTTGTTGTTTGGTAAGAAGCCTGGTACCATGTTTGTCTCGCCCCTTAGTCTTTCCCTCTTCCACTGGCTTTGGTTAAGCTGCTTCCTGGTTCTCTGAGCCTGAGGGGAGCATGGAAGAAGGCAGCGGTCTCAAGGAAAGAAAGGGTATCGTACGAGTTAGTACGTGTATGATTTTTCCCACTGAAATCCCTCTTACCGTTTTCCCTTAGTGGAGAAAAGTATCTTTAAATTTCATGACATCATCACATTGTTGGCAAAGGAGCAATCAACTTGGAATAACTGTAGGGAAGGGGAATATATACCTGTGTAAATGTTTTAGGAAGGATGTACAAGATAACAGAATGCAGGAGGAAGGCAGACTTAGAAAAGGAGACAGAATGAAAGTATCAGTATCCATATGCATTATTAGTGTTCAGTATCTCAAACAAAAAACTCATACCTGCTTAATTCTGAATGGCAGAGTCTTCCAGGGCCTTCATAGATTGTGCAGGTGTACACACCTCAATCCCTGTGCTTAGAACTCTGCCTACACAGTGAATATTTGTTAAGTGGATGAATGGAAGCCTAACCAGAGAGCAATTCAGAAAATTGTAATGAATTTATAACATTAATACCGTAGTAAAAGGATAAATCATTAGGAGCACGTAGAAACAACATTTTCTAATGAATGAAATAGAATTTCACGGATGCAATGATGTGAATGTTTGTATATTGCCCATATGTGAACAAAGATAGTCATGAACAAATGGAGGATAGAAATTAACTTTAAAAAGGAAATTATGTGGTCATATAATTGGTCTTACATTACTAAGCTTGCTGTCAAGCAAATGAGTACATCTAGAATGTTCTTAAGACATAGATTTCTAGTTAACATAAATTTTCCCTTATTGTTTTGATGTTTTCTGAAGGATTTTCAGAATGGCTGTGGCTCCACAAGCACCAGGGAGGGGCTCTGTTAGGAAGACAAGACCTTTAACTGTAAAGACATCGCTGAACAACCCATATGCTATCTGCTGGAGTGCTCTGGAAAGAGAGGATATGCACTTCATTTTACAGACCCTCGAAGACAGATTTAAAGCAATTGGACTTCAGAAGATTGAGGATAAGAAGAAAAAGAAAAAGCAGTCTTTTTTAAAAAAACAAAGCAGAGACATGGTTAGCAGAGATGATACTAATGAGGATCTGAAAGAAAAAAAGCCAGAAGATAACCAGAAGGCATCTGGGTGGAATCCTGTCCATGTCAGGAAGCAGCTGGCCATCGGTGTTAATGAGGTCACCAGGGCTCTGGAAAGGAACGAGCTGCTCTTAGTGCTGGTGTGTAAGTCAGTTAAGCCTGCACTCATCACTGCACACCTGATCCAGTTAAGTGTAAGCAGAACTGTCCCTGCTGGGCAGGTTCCTCGGCTCAGTGAGAGAATCGCACCTGTCATTGGCTTGAAATGTGTCCTGGCCTTGGGCTTCAAAAAGAACAACACTGACTTTGTTGATGAGGTAAAAGCTATTATTCCCAGAATACCCCACTTGATTGTACCATGGCTTCAAGACAGACTTGAAGACTCCAGCAAAGATTTACAGACTGAACCTCTGGAAAGCCAAGACAAAGAAATTATGGAAACTTCCTTTGAAGAACTCTCGAAACCTAAGAGAAAATTTCTTGAAGGTCAGCTGGCTGTAGTGTTACAGCCCCTTAAAATAAAGAAATTGATTCCAAACCCCAATAAGATAAGGAAACCACCCAAAAGTAAAAAGTCTACTTCAAAGTAATCTTTTATAAACATATCCTTTCAAACAGTTGTAAAGTGACAACTCATAAAGATGACTAGCTAATTAAATGAGTTAACGTTTACTTATGTTCTTGTGATAGTTTGTTGCTGTTCCTTTCAAATGTCTAAGACATAGTGACTGTATAGCACAGATAAACTGAAGCTTAATACTAAGTGCAGAGAGTATTCCAAAATATGAATGTCAAAACAAGTTTATTGAAACTAATGTCCACGCTTGCATAAATCACTTCTAAAAGGCTGGTACATTGCTTGTAAGACCATCTGTATCCTGCAGCACTTAACCAAGCTGCAGTAGACATGGGTCTAGTTAGCAGAGTAGATGCATCTGAGCTGCAGAGCTGCAGCTATATCAATTCTACAGGAAAGATAGTAAATGTCCAGCACTGCACTGTCTTCAGAAACAACATCATTTTGTATTTCCTGTTGACACGATATTCTTTGTGGGTAGGGGTATGCATGGACATGAGACACTGAGAGGTATGATATTTTAGGAAAAGTGTGGTAAGGTATTTTGAGTAGTCAGAATTCACCCCTTTACATGGTTAACTGACTTCCTTGGAGGATGAATTAGGTGAAAAGCAGCAGAAAGAGTGAAACAACTGAGGAGCTTGAAGTTTTAGGGTTGAATCTATGCAATCATATGGGTCCTTCATGTTAGGAAATGGTGCCTAGCCAATGCTCTATCTAAAAGTGCCTGCTATTTACATTATTTTTGGAAAAGTTACTTTATGCAAATTGGGGGAAGGCATTCAATTGCCAAGTTTATTTTTAGGCTAGTCTTATGCATTGAAGTTTTATTGATGCATTTTCACTATTGACAAAGATGCAGCAGTTTTCTTTTAATATATTAAGACATTATATATTGCATTGAAATTTAGTTCTAATAGCTACTTTATAAACACAAGCTGTTTTACCAATTCTCCATTTTAAATGTTCATTGGTAATGCTTAAGTTATAAAGAGACTATATATATATGCTAGTCAGTTTTTTAAATGTGAGCAAAAGAATATGAAACAATTGGAGTTCTGTAAATGGATAAAGGAAAATGCCAGTTTTACCGTGAGGTAAACAAGTTCATGACAAAATTTAGACTACCCATTACACATTTGATTTCTAAACCTACTTAGTGTAATACTGTACCATAAAAAATGTGTGGAACATATTCCTAGTCAGAGCTTTGACTTCAGACTAAGTTAAATCTGATTTACTTAAGGCTGGTATCACAAGAAAATGTTTAAGCAAATTGGTTCCGTTTGGCTTTTTTAAGCCTGTCTCACATTAAAGAACAGTAATGCATTGGGTTTGAATCATCTTATACATTACCCTGGACGCAGGTGTGCCCTCTACTGGCAGTCTTAGGGCTATCACCTTTGGAATGGTCTTCAGGATAAAGACAGGCTGCAGAAAAAGCCTCTCAGTTCCTTACTATAAATCAGGTTCTTTTTTTTTTTTTTTTTCTGTAAACAGCCAGATGATAAATGCTAGGTTTTTAGGGCTATTACAGCTCACTCTGCCTTTTGTAGCATAAAGCAGCCACAAGCAATACCTAAACAAGCTAATTGTGGCTGTCTTCTAACAAAACTGTTTATGAATGCTGAAATTTGAGCTTTGAACAATATTCACTTGTCACAAAATGATAATCTTTTGATCAGACTCCTCCCACCCCCACATTCAAAAATGTAAAAACTATCCTTAGTTTGTGGGCCATACAAAAATGGGTTTTAGCTCATGGGCCACAGTTAGTTAGCGCCTGCCTGATAAAAAGATATGACTGGTTTTATTTGACTACTTACAACATAATGGGAAGGCCATTATGTTGTCTTAAAATAATTACATTTTTCTGGACTGAACAGCCTAGGCACTGGTACAATAAAGGCAGGAAGAAATATCTATTCTGGTATGTGGTCTCATTTACATCTTTTCCTCTTGAACTATTGGCAGTATATACATACATATATATGTACACAGTGAAACTTGGTTTTTCATTTTCTAGGTAAAAACACATCAGTAACAAAATTATGAATACTTATTTACAAAGTTTCCGTTAGCATGACACTTCATGATAAATTAAAAGTCAGCATAAAGGAGTATGTGCAATTTTGCATAAGTAATAAAAATATTAAAACTATCAATGTCCTGATGGCACTAATAAATTCCACTGGGCATTTTTTTTTAACTTCAGAGCTTTTATTTTCCTTTTCTCCTCACATACCTTGCTGTGGTGAGAAGAAACTGCAGCAGCAGCAAAGTCTTGTCAGTCTGGGTGTATACTCATTCAGAGGGCACTCAATGTCTGCAAAGAACTTTGCTTTTGAACAAAACCATCAATCTGCTGAAGATCAAAGTATAGATTTTCATATTTATTGATTTGGCAATTTTGCTTCTCGAGAAATGTACTAGTCATCAGTATGTTTTAGTCTGGCTCTTTACTTGACCATCCATCACTCATCATTGAGTTGCAGAAGTGCTGATTCCATACATGTATTTAATGATATCATGTAAGGTGATACAAAAATTTTCCACATGGGTCCTCTGCTCTGTTACATGGACAAATAGATCATCAATAAACAGAAATGCATCAGTTTATTTCCACACGAGTAAAGATTTTTTTCACATGATGCTGTGACTTTTGTTCAGTCTATAGAAAAACAGTCCCATTTTCTAGAGTGGAAAAATACCTTCTCTTCTTTAAGAGACCATCAGAAGTTTGAAAACTAGAAGAATGTGCTCTTTGTTCCCTTTCACTCCTACAAATGGATTAACAGTGGGAAAAGAAAAAGGACGAATGTTAACATTCTAGCTAGAAATGTATACAACTAGTCACATGGACTTTTTCCATCTTTTCTGATTCTTAACACTTCAGTTTCTCTTAAGTTGTGCTTTTATTCTTCCTCAGAATGGCAGTTCCCGGAATCATTAAATATAACATTAACAAGTGATGACATCAGAATTCTAGAAATAGAAATATCCATCTATTGTAATACAAGTCCAACCTAAAGGGAGGAAAGAAATGGAATAATAAGAACAAGTAAAAGTAAACAAAACAAAATTATAATGTAATAGATCTATATTTTAAAAAACAGAGGAAACCTTTTAGCAATCCTCAAGGAGTAAGGATGAGATAGTCTAGGTAAATTTATTAAGATCACAAAGGGTATACTTGTTACAGGGCAGGGAGAGAGGGACCACACTGTTACATACTGATATCGCTTACCTTTTCAGATTCTGTTCCTGGACATCTCCAATTGTACAAGTAATATTGTAAATTGCCATCTCCTATACCAAACTTGAGTTTTTCCAAGAATGTTTTATTTTCCATCAAATCTAGTGCATTGAATACATCAAATCCTTTCTGCCAATATAAAATGGATTTACATTTTAAAATGTCAAAGAACTAGAATATTTTCTATATTGTATATTTTAGCATAACATTTAATCCCTCTTAACAGCTTGAATGTGCATTTATAGTAAGATTTAATGTCTCAAATATATAGTATAGGTTAAGAATTCAGTTCAAGACTGTCTTGTTTAGCTAACAATGAGCTAGCAGAATTAGCCAGAAATACTGAATAATAAATACAGTATGGTGGCTGACACTAATAAAACATCTAGCAGGACTTTGAGACTTTGTCCCTGTTTTACAAGGGAAAGTTATCTAGATGGTCCCATTTCCACCACTGTTTTTGGTCTTTCTAAGCCCTGACTTACCTGAAGCTATAGCTAAGAAACCAAAGTTGCAAAGATTTGAAATAGGTTGACTTGAGCTGATACTAGGAAATAAGATTTAGTGAGTTTCTTCAAAATGTTACAGTATAAAATGTGGAAGTAAGGAGGAAGAGCACTGAAATTTCTTTTTCTTATGGTTATTACCTTATGTAACGTAGTATTGGCATTCTAGGGGGAAGTAGTTAAAAATAAGCAATAGGATCAAAGAACCTGAGGATAATAGTGGTTTTGGGATCCAGAAACAATAGATTTTTTAAAAAGAATTTTTAATAATCAGATAATAGATAAGATAATTTTTATGTGTTAGTCTCAATTTCTTATGAAGAATACTTTTTAATAACTAACATCAAAATGTATCAGCTAATTTCAAATCCTTTATAAAAGAAAATGTTTAGCTATAGCAAGAATTAAACAATTATCCCAATTGCTACACTGAAGAAACAGAAAGATAATGCAAATTTAGTATGGCATGTTTTGAATTTAATTCCTTACATTTTAAATCCCTTTACTTTTTTTTTATTTATTTTTTATTATTTTTTTAAGACTTA